TGTGGTTTTCAGGGATGAAAACAGAATAAACATAGAGCTATCAGATAACACGTAAATGTCTATGTATGTTTATATACATATGTATGTCATATATTTTGTGAGTGGTGTAAGATGGGGGTCTAGTTTTATTCTTTTACATGTAACTTTCCATTTTTCAGCACTGTTTATTTAAAAGACAGTCTTTTTTTTTTCTACATTCAGTATTCTTATCTCCCTTATCAAATACTGCTTGACTGTATATGCATGAGTTTGTTTTTGGACTCTTGATTCTGTTTCATTAGTCTACATGTCTCTTTTTATGCCAGTGCCATGTTGTTTTGATTATTATTGCTTTGTAATATAATTTGAAGTCAGAAAGTATGAGCGTCCTACTTTGCTTTTCTTTCTTAGAATTGTTCTGGTTACTGAGGTCCTTTTTTTATTTCAAATGAATTCTAGAATTGTTTTTTCAATTAAAAAATGCCTTTGGATATCTTAATAGGGAGTGCATTGAATCTATAGAAGGTTTTGGATAGCATGAAGAATATTTTAACAATATTAATTCTTCTAATCTATAAACATGGTATATCTTTCCATTTATTTGTATCTTCTTCAAGTTCTTCCATTGATGTCTTATAGTTTTCAGTAGAGTAATCTCTCACCTCACTGATTAAATTTATTCCTATGAAAGTTATTGTTTTTGTTTTAATTTCTTTTTCAGATACTTTGCTGTTAGTGGATAGAAAGGCTGCTGATTTTTGTTTGTTGATTTTGTGTTCTGCAACTGCACCAATTTTTTTTTATTAGTTATCATAGACTTTTGGTGAAGTCTTTAGGAATTTTTATGTTTAGAATTATGTCAGTTGCAAATAGAGAAAAATTTTACTTCCTTGTTTTCTGATTCGGATGCCTTTTGTTTATTTTTCTTGCTTAATTGTTCTGGCTAGGCTTCCAGTACTATGTTGAAAAAGAGTGGTGAGCGTGAACACCTTTGTCTTGTTCCTCATTTTAGGGCAAAAACTTTCAACTTTTCACCTCTGAGTAGGATGTTATTTATGGGCTTGTCATATATGACCTGTGTTATATTGAGGTACATTCCTTCTATACCCAATTTGTTGAAGTATTTTATTATCAAGGAATGTCAATTTTTTTTCAGATGCTTTTTCTGTGTCTACCCAAATGATCATACAAATTTTATCTCTTATTCTATTAATGTGACATATTACATTTATCAGGTGGCCTATGTTAAGCCATCCTTGCATTCCAGGGATGAATCCAACTTGATCATAATGTAAGCTCCTTTTTAATGTGCCATTGAATTCAGTTTGCTAGTATTTTGTTGAAAATTTTTGCATCTATACTTATCAAGGTTACTTGTTTTTATTGTTTCTTTCTTTTCTTTTCTTTTCTTTTCTTTTCTTTTCTTTCTTTCTTTCTTTCTTTCTTTCTTTCTTTCTTTCTTTCTTTTTTTCTTTCTTTCTTTCTTTCTTTCTTTCTTTCTTTCTTTCTTTCTTTCTTTCTTTCTTTCTTTCTTTCAGTAGTGTCTGACTTCATAAAATGAGTTTGGGAGTATTCCCTCCTCTTCATTTATTTTTTTTTTTTGGAAGAGTTTGAGAAGCATTGATGTTAAGCTTGTAGAAATGTTTAATTAAATTCACCAGTGAAACCATCTTTTTTGGCAAAGAGGCCTTTGATTACTGATTCAGTCTCCTTGCTCCTTACTATTGATTTGTTCAGATTTTCTATTCACTATTCAGTCTTGGTAGGTTTTATGTTTCTAAGAATTTATCCATTTTTCTGAATTGTCCAATGTTTGGCATATAGTTGTTCATATTTGTCTCTC